GTTGTAGGTACATTGATACGACTGATGACCTGTCTGTTGCAGGTACATTGGTACGACTGATGACCTGTCTGTTGTAGGTACATTGGTACGACTGATGACCTGTCTGTTGTAGTTACATTGGTACGACTGATGGTGTACCTACAACAGACAGGTACAATGATTGATGTTTTCATTGAACCAGACCATCTATTTGTACAAGATTAAATTCTACTCTTCTGGAAATATTGATAAGTCATATCATTAAAACAAAAATTAAAAAAATCCTAAAATATACTGATTTCTCAAAAATAACATAATAAGAATCTCTTAGGACCCCAAATGCAAAAATTCTATGCAACAGATGTTACAAGAAACCAGATGTTAGATATATATAGAGCTTAAATAACATGTCTTTACTCAATTCTTTATATTTCGATTTTAATCTTGAAACATTTAGAAAAATTAAATTCCAATAAGTCACAAGGACAGACCACAATGGTTTTACTTCTAGCGACTTACTGTCTATCTGACAAATTTCGGAAAAACTACATGAAAAAAACTGAAAAGGGAATTGGTCAAATATCGGCAAAGCAATATCAAGCCTATGTCACACATGAACTAAGAACATATATTCAGTACTATGGAAATTTTATACTTAAAACTTCTGTTAATATAGTGAAAACTAGGAAACACGTAAAGCACAGAAACAGGAAAATCCGAGACAGTGATAAAAAGGAAAAAACGTACAAGAAAAAACAGAATTCTGCATGATACACGAGAAATCTACATATAACCCTGAGAAAAGTACAAGAGAAATCACAAGTTGTTCACATGTTCCACATTAATACTGTAGATCAAGAAAGTCAACATTTTTTGAGCATATATTCATTTTTAACAGTGTAATACACACATACACACAAAAAAGGGATATGACATGAAGATGTTTCATGGGTACACAACGATAAATGGGTACATATTTTTGGGTAAATACATGGTGTTTGCTCATTAAACTACATAGGTCTTAATTTCTTTTCAGGTGAATTATGCTACTGTAAGTTAAGAGTAAAAACCAGAGGCATCACTGGGTACTGGCACATGGAGCCCGTGCCCTAATTCTATTTGACACTGCTCCAAATCCCCCAGTTGGTGTCTTGAAAAATCAGAACAGAAAACCATGATTGATATTATACTGAAATGCTAATAACTCCTGCACCTATGGGCCCAATCCCTGAATAACTCCTGCACCTATGGGCCCAATCCATGAATAACTCCTGCACCTATGGGCCCAATCCCTGAATAATTCCTGCACCTATGGGCCCAATCCCTGAATCTTTTGAAGCACCTAGCGATGCCTCTGGTAAAAACTTTATTTTTTTGTAAAATGGAAGAAAATGTGATCTGAAATAACTAACAGAGAATTTTGCATTGTGCCAATAATATCTCATTTTCATTTTTTACTCTTAATATCTTAGGTCTTATTTATGAATAGTTTAGAGCAATGAAAAGAAATAAAGTCATGTAATTTTTCACATGAAATACATTTACAGTTAAATTAGGAAACTGTAAAACTTACAAGTGGTATATATATATCGTTAAATATTTTCTCAAACACACACGAGGTTCTGTTATCTACGGCACTGGATAAAATCCAGCAATCTGTAATTGTTAATATCACACCTTTCTTAAAACTATCATTAGTTTTAATGTTATTAATATACCTGACAAAAAAAAAAGCATGTGTCAAACAGTTGCATCGTAATGAAGGCATCACGATTAGCATCAAACACGTTGAACAGTAACAGCACCCATAAAAAAAAAGTAATGCCTAAACAACTATCAACCGTATTCACATTTTCAGCAAACAATAAAACAACATACTACAAATAACAACGTAAGTTACTTTAAAACAATGATGGCAGAACTTTATACAAAAACTGTTAAATGAAGCAAGACTTTAAAATGTTTTTGTGGACTTAAATTTTTTTGTTTGTTAGAAGTTCACATATATTTTGACAATGCTTGGAAATTCATTATCTTCGATAACATCTCCTAACCTCTTGATATTCTGTTATCCTCTCATCAGGTTATCACCTCAGAAACAGATTATCTTTATTAAAAATAAACTCAACCTACTCAACACATGAATGTATATTTAAAAGCAGAAAAATTTCTGTGGAAAAATTTAAAACATACTGATACAACACATGTAACACATTAAATAAATAATTCCATTTAGAGTCATGATATTTCTTTGTTAAATGATACAAGCAAGAATCATCATTATAGTAGTACTACTCCTCAAAATAACTAGTTATGATCCCGTTTGCAGCTGATTTTCTTCGATTTATCTTTAGGCTTCCGGGGTGCAGAATTTCCCTGTTGTGCATTCCGATCGTAAATACTTGAAGAAAAGAAATAAATACATATATGATCCATTTAGAAAGCAGTTTTATTTTTATTTAACTAGTAGTAAAAACATAAATGTGAAATATTAATATAACCACTTTAAATTAATTTTATACCTTTTCATATACAGAATCAGTAATTTTTGGGCTTGAAAGAACTTTGATTATTTTGTACTTATCTTTTATGTAACTTTGTTGATGAACAATATTGTTAAAATGATCTAGCATGGGAATGTGGTTCTCTCAACAATACAAGTTACTTCAAGTCTCTATCCATATCATTCTTAATCTTAGGTATATCATACTTTAAGGCTAAAAATTCATTGACAAAGTATCTCTGAAGAAAGAATAAATGGGAATGTAAAACCAGAAACAAAATCAGAAAATCATTCTGTGGTATGAACTGTATTATATAAACACTTCATACGTAGAAAAGCACAATCTGTCATACAAAACACTACCATCAACTTCTGTAAGGTTTTAGAAGATTTGTTTAGCAATTTTTCAAACGAATTTATCAGTTAACTTTGAGAGATCCTAAAACAGTTAAAACTCTAAAATGAAGTATAAAAAAGGAGCATTTTTCATAATAAATATATCACACGTAGATTCATTTTTTTTTTCTATAAATAATTAAATATTTTTCAATTTAATTCAATACTACTACAAAAAATATTTTATTTTGCAACACACTGGAATACTTAATTACTTATAAGAACTATTAATGTAACGTAAAGATGATGAGCTGGTTAAGTAATAAAGCTGTGTTATGTTCTTCTCACCAATTTCTAAAATGTTTCTTGTAACATGAAAATTCCGAAAACTATTAATTCATTGTATAATTTGGTCTTACGCATTTTCCAATAATTTTAATAGGTAAAAACAAAAACAAATTTATCTGTAAAGAAACAAAGATTCAGAAGAAAAGAAAGATGGTAATACCTAGATATCTTACCAACTTCTATGAAGTTAAAGTAATTTTAAAAATACTTTACATTCATCTATATTCATATAAAAAGACAATGCAGAAAAACATTTTCTGTAACCAAAATGAACATTACTGATAACTTTCAATGAAGACTTTAGTTTTGAAATCATATTTAGTAACTACAATAACTTCTGTGCAAAATAACAAAGAGGGTATACAGTATCATATCAACTGAATCATATCTGCTATATCCATTATATATGTTATACCCAATGCTAATGAGCCATTGCATCCAGTATGAGGGCTCTTCAGGCCAGATGGGATAAAAAAAAAAGACTTAGAAATGGTTGAGATACCATTTATGTCAGCAAACTGGTTGAACAACACGTGTTTTGGAGTGAACTCAAGTTGATGAAATGTGATTTTTATTAATTTTATTCAAGTTACTACACATCAGAATTATGGTAATTAATTATTTAACATTAAACTGTTTATGATTATTATTTACTTATTCTTATGTGAAATAACCACCTACTCATTCTGTAGAATTGACGAACTGCAAGCTTGTCTTATGTTAGAAGAACACAAAGTTAAAACCTGACATTTATTACAACTACATCTGATAAGTATAAAAAAGTGAAGCAAGTTGTTTTCCCACTTTTCTGTTTAACGCAGTCTTGACACTGAAATATTATTATTTGCGGAATAATTAATATTAGTGTATGCAAACACTTTTTCTTGTAATTTTACACTTACAATTTATAGGTGTCTGTCCGGATGAACTCTATCACATGGGACACACCAATTGCTAGTTGGTCTGCTATTGGAGGAAGCCATTCATTGTTATCCATTCTGACAACACATCGTTGACTAATCAAGTCAATGTTTCCTGTCGTGGTATTTTAAATGGTGAGTTAAAAACAATAAAAGACATGGAAACATTTAAAAATTTGAAATTATATTAAAAACCCAACTAAAATTAATTAACACATGATTATTATATCGAGATAATATGTTTAATGTAAATTTTAACGTGATTGATAACAAAAAAGCATTTAACACAAAAGATTAATTATGGAAGTTTTATTGTTTTAGCTTGCCACTACTGATGATCTTTACTGAATAGCTTCTCAAGTGACAAATTCAGTGGGAAAAATTAATTAAAGTAAAAAAATAGTGTTTTCCTTAACAATAAAACATGTTTATGGATACACATGATAGTTAAGTTGACATGTCTGGGTAAACAAACAATGTTAATTGTTAAGTAAGTCATACCGACTTACTCACAACAGACAGGTCATCAGTCGTACCAATGTACCTACAACAGACAGGTCATCAGTCGTACCAATGTACCTACAACAGACAGGTCATCAGTCGTACCAACGTACTCATTCACTGTTGTCTAGTAACTCCAAATATTTATGAAACGTACTAATTCATTGTTGTCTAGTAACTCCAAATATTTATGAAACGTACTAATTCATTGTTGTCTAGTAACTCCAAATATTTATGAAACGTACTAATTCATTGTTGTCCAGTTAAGTAAAAGTAAGCAGTTTTCACTGATTAAACAGACCAACAACCGATTTTTCTAAAATGCGAAGTAGACTTTGATTTATTATATCAAATAGTGAGAAGTTATACAGCGATGAAGCAAGTAACTAAAAAACAAAAATGTATGGAAACATAGGTATTCACAGCGACATAATGTGTAACCACAATCTTCGCAATGAAGTAAGGTGAATTAATTAAAACTCAGTTAATACAGTCTTTTTGTAAACTTTATGATACAGTACCTTCAAAACACAAAACAAATACACCATCTCACAATGAATACAACAGTAACAAACCAGGTGGCATTAATTCAAAGCAAGCTGACAAAACAATTCTTATTCAACATTCAGTTTTGGACATAAATACAGTAACGAATTATATCTTTACAGTTCCATAAAAATGTTTTGCTTTTTAAACATACTGTTTATAAAATTTTCAAACCTTTCGTTGTGTCGTTACAAAAAATGTGTAGCAAAACATAATCTTCAGGCAGTGAAATTATACGTCTCCATTTAGCAATTTACATTTATCACGTTTTCTGTCTATTACATGAAACACATTCAAATTTTTCCACATTATAACTATTGTAGAATTTTCTCAAAATAAGAAACCAAAGGTCATGACTGGCAATACTTGTTTTCTTAGTTTAATGAGTAGAGAGAAATATGCAATTTTAACAAGTGTTGAAATTTTTTCAAACAGACAACCACATAATCTACATGCTTACTAATTACAAAATTTAAAAAAAATAATACAAATGAATATATTTCAAACCAGACTAAAATCTCACAAAGAAAACTAAAATCAACCAACATTTCAACTGACCCAGTCAGAAACATGGGGCAATCAAAACATAGGTCAGTTGAAAAATGTTGAATGTTTTTAAGTTTTGAGCATGTGATATTAGTTTGATTTTGAATAAGTATTTATTTGTGCTAAGTAACGTTGTTGTTTTTTCATTGTAATGGTCTTCCATATAATTAATATTTCATCTCCATGTTATTGGTTGTCATAAATATATCTAAGGCACCTGACTGGTGAAGTATTAACAAGATTTGGCACACAATTCAAAGTATATGTTGTTACAGCAAAATATAATTTTCAGTTTAAATGCATGGTATATATGTACATAGAGATGAATAAAATTCTAGTCACATAATTAAAGCTCTGAAACTGTAAGGTATCTGCATTAACAACATTAAATCAAATGATAAAAATAAAACTTTAAGATTCTTACACAAGCAGAAAGTTTCTTTCTTCTCAATCGCCTTCAGTTCTATCTAGGCCGAGTGAATGACAACAAATTAAACCTACACAATGATTAACATCTCATATTCTTTCAAGTTATGTTTTTAACACCTAACAGATGGTTAAAAGGATTGTTTGCAATGGAAAAAAGCACACAAAAAATATATCGAATAGCTAAACATAAAAAAGCAAACTACGACATTTTTCTCAGAATGTGCCAGTCACAAAAGACACGATATGAATGAAACCGATGCTAGAACTCGTAACAAACTGTAAAAACAACTTATGACTAATACAATACTAGAACAACTTAGATCTTAAACTCATCATAATATCAGTACAGTTTCATGAGCAAGTTGAAGGGAATAATGTATTAACGAAAGCAAACACTAACATGAGAACAGAAATAGAAATATATATATATATATATATGATAAGAAGCTATAAATGTTCTTCCCAAATGGAAATATATAAAACTTTACACAATCTTAGAAAATTCATAAAAATTACCACAAGGGCACATATCATGCAACCAACCAGGGGCAGATTAAGGCAGGGGCTACTGTGATTGTAACCCCAGGCCTGGGCTCAGAATAGGTCTGTTACGAGGTTTAGTTTGTTGTTTTTTACCTTAGTCTTTAGTCACAATCGTAATAGACCCAGTAGAAAAATTTAGCACCAGGTCCATCTGACCCTCAATCCACCCCTGCGTGCAATACTAAGCAAGACAGTATAAACTCATTTCACAGAGAATAACAGGCAGAAGCACCACATAATGTAATACCACGAGGTACACTATTTCACTCCACGGAAATAACTCGTACTACATTCTTCAACATATTTGTGCACATCGTACAAATTTCTTGTTGAAATTTATACATTTGAGTGAAATGCACATATTTTTCATAAATATTTGGAGTTACTAGACAACAGTGAATGAGTACGTTTCATAAATATTTGGAGTTACTAGACAACAGTGAATGAGTACGTTTCATAAATATTTGGAGTTACTAGACAACAGTGAATGAGTACGTTTCATAAATATTTGGAGTTACTAGACAACAATGAATTAGTACATTTCATAAATATTTGGAGTTACTAGACAACAATGAATTAGTACA